CACAGAGAGTTCCATAATTGGCACCTTGGAAGATCTGAAAATATAAATTAATACCACTATACAAAACATAATTCTGAAAAGTCAAGGCATCGGACAATAAATGTTAGGAGTAATATTTTAAATTCTATTCTGAATATGACAGGGAGCCAGTGGAGAGAAGCTAAAACTGGAGAAATATGATCTCTCCTTCCAACTCTCATTAAAAAAAGTACAGTTTTTAAATGAAATGTTGCTGAAACGGCAAGTTTCTCAGTGGATCTGTGCTCCACAATGCAGCCTAGGTGGAGTAGTCAAACACAGATCCACTGATCCTTTAACACAGAGCATTTTCAGACGACAAGCTGATACAATAAATTTAAAAAATCTCTATTGTTTGATACATAGTGTGTATTGAATGGTTCGATACTGATACATGTATTGTTGCACCCCTAGTATTTATGTGGATTGCTGGATTTTCAAGTGTTTTATCTGTTTATTAGTTATTTAGGCATAAACATATCATACAAATACAATAATTAGGAAATAATAGAACTAATTATTAATAATTAAAAACATATTTTTACTAAAACAGTAAAGTACTGAGTAAGAAACTTGATGAAATCTGTTTTAAATCTCACCATGCATGTCACCTCCAATTTTTGCTAAAGTGTTTGTCAAAAACCAGCGGGGCTGAGAAGCAGATATTTTTCATCACTTCTACTGCATTTTGGCTGCTTACTGTTTAGTCAGCTTTTTGTTTACATGAACTCCCTGGTTGCTAATGATGAGGGGGGGAACAGGTCAAGTGTGGAGTGATGCTTCAAGTCTCTCTGGAGGGTCAGCGGCAGACAGAGAGGCAGTTCAGCATACAGTATTTAGGATCGAAACACAATCAGTCTGTGGCCTGTCGCTGCCACGAGGACTGAAAGTGCATGCAAGAAATGCTAATTACTCAATTTTGATGCAACCTGCTTTCTTAGTGTTGCCCCAGTACTGAGCAAATTAACTGTATCCCCTCATACTCCTCCTATTTTAGCTCTTGCTCATCTGCTGCAGGGAAAGAAAGCATAGGTAAGCTGTCTTGTTTTGTTCTCATTTGTGTACACAGCTCATGACGCAATTAGAAGAAATAGCCATGCAAATTTGTTTTCCTCCCCAGGCGAGCACTACAAACGGAAAAATATTGAAGCACACAAACAGTTCGGTGACAGTCAGGGGGAGCTGAACAAAGACTGCACGTATCTCCACGCTGATGAGGCCAAATGTGACCAGCATATGGAAACATTTATAAAATGCATCAAAGCATCCGGTCAGTAAACTGAACCTGAAGTCAGTAACACATCTTGACATTGTATTTGTGTTTTTTTTTATTGAAGTCATGTCTGTGTTTGATCATATGGTGATAAAGGTTTTTTCTTTTCATTATATGCTAATAGTTTAGATGTTTACTTACTACGTTATTATTCTGCTAATCACTGTACATCATGATCATATAATGTCCCATTCGCAGGTGGGAGTTCAATAGATGGTTTTTCTGCCATCAAAGTGTCTGCACTAGGACGACCTCAATTTCTGGTAGGTTCTAAATGGTGATTAAAAGCTCAGTGTGACAATCTAGCTCAAAGTATAGCAGCAGGAGTGGGTGAAGCCGAGATCCTATTTTTCCCCATTTTTTTAGCTTCGGTTCTCAGAGGTCCTTGTGAAATGGCAGCGATTTTTCAAATTCCTGGCATCGCAGCAGGGAAAAAATGGCATGGAAGCCTTGGAGCAGAGACTGGAGCTGTCACAGCTGCAGGTAGTGTTTTTCTCCACTTCCACTTTTGTGCCTGTGCTGTTTAATTATATTACATATGCTCCCTAATCACAACCAAACAGCATGAGGAGAGCGCTGCATATGTTGCTGCAGTATGAGATGTTCAGTGGCCTCATTTATAACTCAGGTTTAAAGGGAAAATGTCTGCACCTGCACACAGACTCTCACCTGCGTATGAACATTGTAGAAACCAGGCAAACTGGTAACATAAATAACAAGGTGGTTAATATGTATATGTTGGAGCTTTAAAATTCTTCTACTTGGTGTCTTCTCAAATATTACAGATGCAGTTAATAAAAAATATGGTCAGTGGCAGTGTTTTAGTCAAGACCAACTAAAGGCTGAGTCACACTACAAGATTTTAAAACAGTCGGCCGATTTTCAAAGACTGATGGAGCCCACACATGAGGGCAAAAAAATCACGTATTTACCAGGTTTGGTCCTACAGTGTGTGGTGTACAGCCACATGGCAAGAGACAACACACCAACAGATATTTCCTTCATGAACTGTCAGATATTAAATCACGCGAGACTTCCTGAAATCTCGCGAGAATTCAGATGTCCGAGGAATATATCTCACGTGACCTCCAGAGAGACGTGAGTTCAGAGTAAATAAACATTTGCAACAAGAAAGAAACAATGTGGATCGTTTGTGGACTATTTTTACCAGAGGAAAAACAATTTCATAGGACTTTTAACATCCAGCAGACTGTCTGGTGAGACATGACTGTTTTTGTTGACGTCACCTCGCTTTCTGATTGGCTACATGTCTCATTCAACAGGCTGCGAGCTCGGGGTGAACACCACACACACTGTGATATTGGGCCAAAAAATCTAACATGTTGAATATCCCCGATTTGAGGTCGGAGCGGTCCTGACATCCTTCTGAGCCGACTAGATCACTCTTAACTCACCACCCATGGCAGGAATATCTGCTATGATTATCTTTAGAGCCATCATTATAATCTGGACTTTCTTAAGATTGTCGGAAGGGCCAAAATCAGCATGATTTTCTTGTAGTGTGATGCCGGCTTAATCTGAGACCAAGTCAAGAACAAGACCACAGTGTAATGAGACCAAGACTTTTTGGGGTAGACCAAGTGTAGACCAAGACTGAGGGAGGGCGAGACTGAGTCAAGACCAAGACTGGAAAATAAATAAAAAACCAGTGCTAACTTTGCTAACATTTACTGAATCTCTTTGTAGGAGGGTCGGGTAAAGAATTTTGGTACAGAACCAGATTGCTAACATTAGCTAGCTAGCTTTGCTGACATCACTGACGCATAGCTTTCTTGTGCTTCCTTTCTAAGTGACGATAAAAGTTTGACGTAGTCCCCACCATCTCTAAAGGTAAAGCACTGCAGAATTTACAAGTCACTGTAGGCTATCTCCTGGGAGTTGTTTTACAAATATATGCTTTATGATTTATGTAGCAGAATTGTATTACTGCAGATTTTGCAGACACCTTCTCCTGCTCCCAGACAAACACTGCTCACGAGGGTGGTGTTCAACGGTAACAAAAATACGTAATTAGCAATGAGTCCTGCTTGGCTTTGAATCAACAAACCTTACAGCCAATGAAAGCAAAGATGTTAACAATTAAATTGGACAGTATTCTGGCAGTTTAGTGATATGTTCACAGTTGTGGTCTTGACTGGTCTTGAAATAAAATCCGGAGTCCTCGATGTCCAAGACAGAGACAAGACCGAGTACAAATACGGTCACATTTGATATGAGACCAAGGACCATCAAAAAGTGGTCTTAAGACTGGTCTCAAGTACTACAACACTAATCAGTGGTGTTGTTTGGGCTTGCACTAGTGAGCCATAATTATTTTTATTAAAAAGTTTCAGTTGGGGGAAAGAAAAATCATTAACACAGGTTCTATATAAATCCAAAATGTTTTTATAATTTATGGATTTGTCGTCAGATCACCAATCCTACTTGTAGTGAATTCAGCTAAGCTTAAGTAGCCTGGAATGTAAATAACTTGTGATTTCTTGCAAAACACCCTTTTCAATTGATATCCCAGCTCCATGGACACTTATTGTTGCGATCATGTTGGTGAGTGGCTGAGCAATCAGTGTGGTTTTTGTAAGTACTGCATTGAGAGTTGTGTGCAATGCTGCATGATGGAGGAAATGACGCTGCTAGAAGACAGTGAGAGTGGAAGGAGGAGTAGGGAATAAGTGTTTCATAATGTCAAATACTTACTGGCTTGTATCAAGTGAGTACATTTTTTGTTGTTTCTTTGTTTTTGCTGTGATTCCCTGTTAGAATCCACAAAAAAAGTGGCACATTTGTGTGCTTGAACATGAGGTGCTTTTCATTAATCAGTATTTGGATAAAGGTCTTATCCAAGTGTGCATATTTTCAAGTAAAAGATCTTTCAGACCTTCGGTCCAAAAAGAGCGGAAAATAATTTATTAGACTTTTGGTGCTCAGAGTATTTTGCCCTTTTTGGGCTCACACAGTTTAAATAGGGATTTTACACATTCGTTTATGAATAAGGCCCAGGATATTAAAAAGTTTGTATTCATAACAGGAATTCTTAACCAAAGTTGGAGCAAAAGGTGACTTCTATGGCTGGTTTACCGGAAATAAAGACGACACTAAAGGGTAAGTGAAAACAC